AATCCCAAAATAATTCAGCTTTCTGATATCATTGGATAAGCAATTCAATGGCTAAATATTTATATTTTCCATATGAAAATCAAGATTTAAATATGATACTCACTTTACTAAAATTTATTCATAACAACAATGCTTGTTAGAACTCATTCTCTCTTAATCAAATCTTTCGAATTTAAGACTTGAATATGAGAATTGCAATATCACCTCCAAAAAATCATATTCTGCCTTACGAAAAGTTATCCAAGTATGATTAATTTTTGAATTTAAACTCACTTCTTACATACCTAGCATACAGATCGAATTATCCCTATAATATACAAAAAGAAACTCTAGATATGAGTCTATTCCCTGTATGAAAATTGCATTTGTCTTTTCATTGTCACCATAACGAGCCTAAACACTGGCTAATCGAGTCTTAAAATAGGATTATATAGAATTTTGGCCAAAAAAGTTAAAAATTTGACTTTTCACATATTTAATCCAAACTTAAGGGGCACTTTAAGTATTTTCCATAAGATCGGCTATCTTGCTTTGGGGGCAGCTTAATTTGAGTAAAAGTGGACAGATGCGGAAAAGTTCATTCTTGCAATAGTTCAATTTAATTATCTCAAAAAAAAAAAAAAAAAAAAAAAAGAGTAGTAAAAGTGACAGATTGCAGCAAAAGTCATTCACTTCACTAGTTACAAACATATTAATTATCTCAAAAAAAAAAAAAAAAAAAAAAAAAACTTAATTAAATAAAGAAAGATTAACAATGTCATGTCATGAACACTATGCACGTTAATCGTACTATCTTGTCCCAAAAAAATAGTCTATCTTTTATTTTTGGTTTGTCCCAAAATTTAATTCACTATTTTTTTTTTTTTACATTATAGTTAATCCTTAAATTATCTATTATATCCTTATTAAATTATCTTATCTTCAATAACCCTCATTAGTTCTTAGTTATTATTTCAATACTCATATGTTATTTAAGACGGACATAATCGAAAAGTTATATGAATAAAATTGTCCTTTAACCATATTTTTTAATTTGTGTGAAAATAAAAAGCGGACTATCTTTTTAGGACAGAGGTAGTATTTAATTTATCATTTTCATTAATTAATTTATCTACGTCATTCCCATATGCATACTATATAATAATTTAGCAATTAATTACTTCTTGATCCCTTAATTAATTAATTATTAATCTGCAGCTAGCAAAACAGTTTCCTTCAAAATTAAACGTTAATTTAAAACTTGATTTTGCATCCTTAAGAAAAAAAAATTATTATTTTATATACACGCAATTGATATGCATCCAATTGCTTTCGTATCTAATGACGGATTTCTTGGAATTTGACCAATTTTGTTAAATAAAAAAAGAAAAAAAAATTTGCTTGGCCAAGATGAATTATTTCTTTAAAATTAAACTTGAAAAATGCATAAATTCACCTATTGAGTTTACATAAAAAATTTTATGTCATTTTTAATTTTTATTTTGATTTGTTGAATACTTTTTAAAAAAAAAAAAAAAAAAAATGATTTGTTGAATTACTTTTTAAAAAAAAAAAAAACTTTTTAAAAAAAAAAAAAAAAAAAATCAACTGCATGATTCCTTGAATACTTAAACTTATAAAATTGCATATATTAAATATTCAACTTGTAAAATTGTGCTATTATATCTATATTTTGCTTAAAAAAATTAAAAATTTTTTAAAAAATTATTATTGTTAGTGTGAAGAAGTTTGTAATATTATCAAAATCTAGTACTTTAGCGGCACAATAAATTCCCTTCAATATTTGAAATATTACAAAATTTTTGTCATAAATTACAGAAGTGAAATTGTGTATTTGGCAAAATTAAAATATTAAAACTTAAAACAACTCAGTTCCATTGGTAGCTCTGTTTTCTTAAAGAAGTAGTAGCAGATACTTTTTGCCGCCATGCACAGAGTATTTCACATTTTCCTTAATGCCAAAGGCCACTTAGAAGATCCACAAATAATTAAGTATGAGTAATGTGATTACTTTAATTATTTTTTTTGGTAGGCATCACTCTATTTTTTTAGATTAATCTGTCACCGAATTGAAAAGTATAAAAATTTTGATCCTCTGTTATAAATCGCTTTTTGAAAATCAAATTTATACTTTCACTATTGTAGAATCGAAGTTGTTTAATACCCGACCAGACGACTAATATACCATTAGTTGCAAATTGTAATATATGCAAATTGTAAATATATATATATATATATAATATATAATATATATATATATATATTATAAACACCTCAATCAACACGATCTTAATTTAATAAGAATGAACACGGAAATCTTATACGCTAACATTTTATTCATAAAATTTTAAATTATGAATATTTTTATATCATTGTAGGTTTCCACCCATTCAAATCCAACTAGAACTAAAACCAGATATATTTTTATAACATATCGACTAATATTAATTACTTATGAATTTTGTTTTCTTTTGGTTTAAGTTTTGACTTTTGACTATGAAAACTTATCCATGACCATATATAATGCAGCTCATAGATATAGTGATTTTTTACTTTTGAAAAGTAACCTCTCTTTTTTTTTTTTTTTTTTTTTTTTTTTTTTTTTTTTTTTTTTTTTTTTTTTTTTTTTTCCTGAAAATAAAAGTTGCATTGACCTTTATATTACTTCTCTCATAAAAATTTAACTACCTACTACCACTGGATTAAATTCAATGCCTAAATATTTATTTTATCATAAAAAAAAAAAAATCAGAGATTCAAATATGACACTCCCTTTATTTTCCTCTCTATATTATTTATATACATTTCCTTTTTCTTTTCTTTTTATGCATTTCAACTAAAATCTATTCGATATAGATTTATAGCTATATATTAATTATCAGTGTTAAGGTAAGGTGAGAGTACAAGTGGTATCAGGATGTAGAGATATAAAATTAATGTTTATTTTTATTAAATTTTAATAATTTCCCCTAACTAATGTGAATTATACACCATACTTCAAATAAAATTCCTTATAAATTTCAATAATTTCCAATCTCAACCACTCAACGGGCTTAGAGAATTTTCCTTGTAACATCTTCTAGATGTTTCATTATGGTTAAACATCTACAAGAACGAATAATCATCGCACAAAAACATATTATTCTAGGAGAGAATAACTTATTTAAATTTCGTTTATAAGTCTAAATAAAAGAAAAATATGTGTCTTTTTGAAAAACGTGGATATTTTTGACTATTCATAGAAAAATAAAATGATATATGTAAATAATTGTTTTAAAAAATTTGTAATTGGTATAGTGCATTGGTGGTTTATAGACTAGGCAAGTTTTATCCGTTTACAAATCTTAATGGATAAAACTTATCTACGTTCTATCTATGAATCATACACAGACGAAATTAATAAAAATATAATAAAAATAAAAATTTTTCCTATTTTTAGTTTTTCCAATAAATGTCGAAAAATCTTAATTTAAAAACATAAATCAGTGACGGAGGTAGACTTGCCCCTAGCCTCTATAAAAACACTGAGTGATTCATTTGCTTGTTGATTTCTTGGTAACTTAGTCGTATTATTCTCTTTCACTAATGCCATTGGACTTCAATTCAAGTCATAACCTTAACAAGCTTTTATTTTTATTTTTTTTGAAGGATATCTTATTTTTATTTGTTCTTTATAAATTAGAATAGAGATTAGCCCTATTTTTCTTTTTGAAAATCCTATTTTCTTTTCAGATAGTTTACCTATAAAAACTATTGAAGAAAAGTAACTATTTATTTATAATTCAATTGTTTATTATTGATTATTTAATTAAAACTTAACAAGTTGTAAAAACTTTAGAATTATAAATTCAGTGAATAAATATATGGTATTCAATTTATTTAAATAGATTGATTTAACATCATAACTTATGGTCAAATTTTAATATTTTAAAAATAATATCAAATAAAATTGATCAAATTTTAAATTTATTTAAAGTTGATTTTTTTTTTTTTTACTTTAAATGATGGACTATGTTGTATTTTCGTAATTTCATTTGCTTTACTAAGTATTTTAAAAACAATATTTTAAAATTTTTAAAACTTAAAGAAATAGTTCTTTTAATAATAATTTAAATAAATTTATCAAACAAATTCTAACATGTAATTTAAAATTAATATTTTTAAGATTATGGTAAATTATAATTTCATGTAGTTTTATGACAGACTATATTTTTCTAGTACGTCAACATCAAAGTCAAATTGTATATATATTTTCAATATTAAGTCATTTATTTTGAGGTACAAATTATAAATATATGAAATGCAATAAAAATAAAATATATGAACTAACTCTACATATGCTCATTAAAATACTTTACAGAATATTGAATTTTACAATAATATATTTAAAATTTTAATCACTAGTAATTATTTTCATTATAATTAGTATAAAAGTTTTAGAAAGTTATTTTTATTTTTCTATTGAAAGTTATTATTTATATTAAATATCTTTATTATTTTGTGGTTATTTATACTATTTTCATTGAAAAATTTTGATTATATAATATATATTAACTCGTATGAAATGATATTTTCGCCCCTGACAAAAAATTCTGGCTCGTCACTGCCATGGACTCGGCCTAGGAAACTCATTGTCAGCCTTTAATGCTTTGTATAAAGGTAACCTAAGGTCAATAGACAAAGTTTTTTTTTTTTTTTTTTTTTTTTTTTTTTTTTTTTTTTGTATAAAGGTAACCTAAAGTCAATAGACAAAGTTTTTTTTTTTTTTTTTTTTTTTTTTTTTTTTTTTTTTTTTTTTGTGACAATTAGGTCAATAGACAAAGTTTGATTTTTTTTTTTTTTTTTTTTTTTTTTTTTTTTTTTTTTGTGACATTAGGTCAATAGACAAAGTTGATAACGGACAAAGCTCTCTAAATTTGAATTCAATAGTCCGACCACCATTGTTGACCTTTCTTTCATAAAGTCATCCTTCGTATGCTTTGCTTTCCATAGTTACTTCCCACATGAAATCTTTATAAACATTTCTTCTGATATCCAGACCATAACTCGACTTGTATAAAAGCAAATTCCCTCTTCTCGACTTGCTATCATAAATAACAGATTTTCTTCTTCCTTAGTTTTCTTTCAAGAACTAAAAATGGATATTATTTCTGTCCCATTTACAGGCACATGGAAGAGATACTGGAGAAGAAAGCGTTACCAAAGAATCGATGGAGGAATAAGAGGAACAAAGAATATGAAGGTAATAAGAATTGGAGATCGAGGAAGTCCGAAAAGGGGTTGGAAGATAAGAACTGCAGCGAAGCTGAGAATTTTAAAAGCTGTTACTTCTCCATTAAAGCTCATAGGGAAGCTTAAAAGTGCTTATGTTAATATGATGCTTAATTTGGCTGGAAATGATAGTGTTTTTGGAAATAAAAGAATTCCAAAAGCAAGGCAAGTTCCTATTGCTGCTTATTCTAATGAAGAATTTGAGGCTAGACTTGTTTTTGAGATTTATAAAGCCTTGAAAGCAACTCAGTAGATGATGGAGATGGCTCATCAATCCTTGTGGCCTGGTTTATTTGGGCAGCAAGGAACCGGTTTTTTGGTCGGCATGCAGTTGATAATGCTCCACAGAGAATTGTTAGCAACTCGATAAAAGTTATTGAGTGGCGCTAGCACTACGAAGGAAGACTAATGGATGGTATGTTTAAAGTCTTATATCCATGTTTAAATGTAATTTGGATGCTGCTCTTTATGGTTGTTCATGTTATGGAAATGTTATTCCATAACAGGAAGATTGGGAAACATCAGAGTCACAGTGGCAAAGAGAGAAATCCTTGGTTTTTGATTGTTTTGTTGAGAAGTGATTAAGTTTGATGTATCTTTTCTAATGAGTAATGATATTTGATTTATTCACTATATAATTCTAGATTGCTTTATTTTTTTATTATTTGCAATTACAGTCTAAAATTGAAAAATTGAACGGAAGTACAATAATGTTTACTGCAATAAACAATCGAGACAAAGTAATGTATTTCGAAAAATAAAATGATAAAATAATTATTTTTAGTAAAATATAGAGATAAAATTATAATTTTTTCTGTATAATGAGGGTTGTTTTGCAGTGGGACTTAGAGAGGTACTGACTTGGATTGGCTTGGACAATTGACTCAACTCAAATCTCTTTTGCTCTCATTCTAATTCCTGCATTAAAATTATATTGTTTATTATATTATATTACAATTTTTATGCTAAAAATATATGGGTTTATTGCAAAACTTTAGTTTTTTTTTGTAAGTAATTTATTATTAATAAATAAATAATGAAAATACTTGCACCAATGCTGTGAGCATTGGTTTTTTTTTTTTAGAATGAAAAGAGAATGTCATCAAGGATTTGAAGTGGCTACTTGATAAAAGATAGTAACTGAATAGTTAAACAATAAATTAAATGCAGGCAGTTCAATATTTGCTTTAGTCAAGCTATCTTGATTTGGAGGTTCTAGCTTAATTAAAATAAGATTGGATACGATGCGGAAAAATTCTTTCTTTCAAAAACAAAAACAAACTAATTTTTTTAATTAAATAAAGAAAGATTAACAATGTCATAAATGCTGTTCACATTAATCATATTTTAATAGCATCTCAATCTTGATTAATTTATGTACTGACAGGCAATATCATATGTGACCCATCTAATAGTTTAGTATTAATTAATTAGCATCTGCCGCCAGCAAAACGCTATTCTTGAAAATTATATATCGATTTAAAACTTGATTTCGCAACTAATTACGGATCTCTCGGAATTTGACTAATTTTGTTAAATACATAAAAAAAAAAATACAGAAAAAACTTCCTTGGCAAAGATGAATTACTGCTTTAGAAGTCTGACCGTGATGGGTAGCTCTGTTTTCTTAAGAAGACTACTACTATTAGGCTGTGCTGGTTACGGTTCTGGTTCGGTTCTCAACAAAAACCGGAACTAGAATCATAATTTTATTTTTTTGATTTTTATTACATGTAGAACCAAAATTAGAACCAAATAACATTAGAACCAGAATCAGAATTGAATCATAATTCGGTACGGATTTAGTTCTGTTTTTTTATTCTAATTCCTCAATTCTAGTTCCAGTTCCCCATTAAAAATTATATTGAACTCAAGTTCAAAAACCAAGTAGTTTTAATTGTTAAATGTTAATTATTAATTATAATTATAATTAACTATACTATTATTAGTTATTAGTTATTACAAAGATAATAATTATTATATTATTTGAATTAATTGTTATAACAACATTAGATATAATACAAATTACACATGTTTTTAGAAATATTGTAATTATAAATTATAATGCTATTAAAACATTAATTAGTTTTAAAAATAATTGTAATTATAGAATTACGATAATAATACAAACTAAAACTATCACTAAAACGCTATAATTAAAGTACTATTAAAATACTAATACATTTATATGACTATTGATTATAATTTTATATAATAATAAATCTGCATAATTATACATATGGCTAGTTATATATATAGAAGTTTAGTAATTCGTAAGTTATAATATAAAAAAAGTTATATAGAAAAAAATGCATGTCTAAATTGAAAATGAGTTAATTTTAGGGCTCTATTTGTTTCCATAAAGTAATTTGTAGGAAGATATTTTTCATAATTTTCTGTTGTTTGAAGCGCTCAGAAAAATAAGTTAACGGAAAATATTTTCCTAATCAAAGGAAAATATTTTTCGAGAGAGTAAAATATTTTTAAGAAAACCAACTTCTCATTTTCGAGAGAGTAAAATATTTTTTGCACATCGTCAAACCTTATAAATCCATATTTTTTAATTTATTAATCATCATAATTACTACCACTAGTCATTCGAGAGAGTAAAATACTCATTTTCGAGAGAGTAAAATATTTTTTGCACATCGTCAAACCTTATAAATCCATATTTTTTAATTTATTAATCATCATAATTACTACCACTAGTCATGATTTACCACCGACCACCACCACCGGCTACCACCATTGGCTACTAGCGGCTTTCATAATTTTTTTTTTTTTTTGCATTCTTTTCATATTTACAATTAAAATTTTTAAAATTATAAAATTTTTATTGCTATTAATATTTTTTATGGTCTTATGAGATTAAAGACTTTAATATTTTTAACTAATTTTCAATATTACAACCAAGCAATAAAAAATATGTCATTTGAAAAATATTTTTCAAGAAAAATGTTTTCTATAGAAATATTTTGAGCAAATTATTTTCATGCAAATTATTTTACGGAAACAAATAGAGCCTAAGTTTTCTTTTTAAATATCAAATTCATTGTTAACTAATAATTAATAAAGTGTATTTCAATTGGTTACTCTTTGAGTCCCATATCATCTTAATATTTATTAGTAAAATAGTAATATGATTTTTAATTTAAATAATAAATAACAAATTTTCTAAAGTTTTAAATTAAATAATATATCAAAAAATTAAAATTATATATTTATTAATTGGTTCTTTGGTTCGATTTGGGTCCGCTGTGGTTCCAATTTGGTTCTTAGTAAGCACCAGAACCAAAATCGGGACATATATTTTTTTTATTCTTAAAAATACTTGTTTTTCGATTTGGATAAGTTCTATGATTCAGTTTGGATCCCAAGAACCATGCACAGCCCTAATTACTATATTACTTAATATTATTTTATTTTCATGAAATAATAATGCATAGACTAAATTACTTCTGAATTTTATTTTTAGCTTGAGCTTTGAGTTTTGACTCAATATAATGCAGCTGATGGATCTAGAGAATTTTTCTTTTCTTTTAAGCTTTTTTTTTTTTTTTTTTTTTTTTTTTTTTTTTTTTTTTTTTTTTTTGAAAAGTTTCAGTCTCAGTATTTATTAAATTGACTTTTTATTACTTCTCAACAAATAAATAAAAAAAATAAAAACTTTATGTTTTTTTTTTTTTTTTTTTTTTTTTTTTTGAAAAGTTTCAGTCTCAGTATTTTATTAAATTGACTTTTTATTACTTCTCAAAAAAAAATAAAAATAAAAACTTTATGTTACCATTGGATAAATAATTCAATGGCTAAATAATTTTTTATTTTTTTATTTTTCGGTACAGGCTAAATATTTATTTTATCGTATAAGAAAATAAAAGATTCCCTTTACATTCACCTCGAAATTTTTTATATTTATGTCACTTTTTTCTGACAAAAGAAAAAAAAATCTCAGTATAATCGATTGTTACATCTCAACTAGAACCAATCCAATTATCATAATCATATTTTAATTTTATATCTATATGTGCACTAAAGTAAACTTTATATTCATATTTTTCTTAAAAAAAAAAGAAAAATTCATCTTTGAAATTTTAGTTGATATACTATCATTTCTATTTAGTTGTTAATGCCTTAGCTAGTGGTAAGGTGGGAATAGGGCTGAGCTTGATTTGATACAACCAACCAAATTGAAATAATTTTTAGTTTAATTTGATTTTTACCATATTTGTTAGATTTCTTTTTAATAAAAAAATTAATTTTTATATCAGTTTTATTTGGTTTTAAGTAAAAAAAAAAAATGTAATAAGTGTAATATTATTGTTAATTTTTATTGAATTTCAGTCATTTGCCCTAAATAATGTTGTGAATTTAACAACACTACGTAAAATTAAATTGGTTGTTACCTTAAAAAAAAAAAAAAAGGTTTTAAATTTCAAATATTTCCAATACAAGCAAGCTTATAATATTTTCCTTGCAAGTACTGCTGGTCATCATGATTCATGGCCTGTAATGTGTACGTTTCATTATGGTCAAACATCTAGAAGAACCAATATTTTATTAGTAATAGTTAATAATGATATTGCCCCACAAATTTTTTAAACATTATAATTTATTCTAAAAAACAATTTTTTTTTTTTGGTATTCTATAAACTAAAAACCAAAAATTTTAAAAAACAGAAGGTCAATAAACAAAGTTGATAAGAGACAAAGCTCTCTATATATTTAATGATCCAAACCATTGTTGACCTGTCTTTCATTATCTCTCAGCCTTTATATGCTTTGCTTTCCATAGTTTAGTTACCACGTTAAATCTTGTCAACTCTGCTATCATACCAACAGGTTTTCTTCCTTCTCTATTTTCTTTCAGATCTAAAAATGGAGATTATTTCTGCACCATTTACGGCCACATGGAGGAGATACTGGAGAAGAAAGCGGTACCAAAGAATCGATGGAGGAAGAAAGAATATGAAGGTAATAAGAATTGGAGACCAAGGAAGCCCGAAAAGGGGTTGGAAGATAAGAACAGCAGCCAAGGTTAGAATTTTAAAAGCTGCTACTTCCCCATTGAAGCTTATAGGGAAGCTAAAAAGTATTTATGTTAATAAGATGCTTAATTTGGCTGGAAATGTTGGTTTTTTGAATAATGATAGTGTTTTTGGAAATAAAAGAATTCCAAAAGCAAGGCAAGTTGCTGTTGCAGCTTATTCTAATGAAGAATTTGAGACCAGACTTGTTTATGAGATTTATAAGGCCTTGAAAGCAACTCAGTAGATGATGAAACTTTTGAAGGTTCTTTAGTGGGATTATCTGGTTTTATTCAAGAATGCTTGAACGCAAGGGAAGCTGAAGCTTAAGGACTAAGGGAGGTGCTGGCCTGGGTTTCTTGTGGACTCAACTCTATATTGTAGTCGAAATCGACTCCGAAAGAAGTTTCTCAGAGGTTTTTTTTGGAGTTTGGTACTGTTATTTTGATTGTAAAAAGTTTAATGTGTGCTTGTGTTGGATCAAAGGGCAAGCAAATAGAGCCGCTCAACTTCTAGGGATCTCTTTCTAATGATAGCTTTCCTTGTTTCTGTTTTGGCCGAATGATTCTGCACAATAATAATACTGTCTTTTTTATTTTACTTTTCAAGAAAAGGAGAAATAAAAATATGTTGCTAAAAACAGTTTTCCTATATCAGTAGCAATCCATCTGCCCTTAGAATCCCTATTTCATTGCAAATTGGGCAAAAGTGTTTATTTTTTAACACTAGCAATAGCAAAAACATGATTAACTATGTGAGTGTGCATATATATAACTTTGATTACAATGTCTATAGAATGCTCTTCTTTCTTTTGTTTGGAAAATTAAATTCTTCAGGCTCGAACTTTTATGGAATCTGCGAAAAGGATTTGTAAGGAAGAACTCTTTTATAGAAATGCTTTGTTGTTGTTCTATTTGGATACAGTTTGAGGTGTCCGACAGTTGGTTTAGCTCATTATTATTGGACTAGCACGTATAACTAAGAATAATCAGTACTCTACCTTCCCATCTCTACCTTTCCTTCCCTGCATTCTCTCCCATGCCTTGCTTTCTTCAAACCTACTATCTCCGCCTTTCTCTTTTCTTTCTTTTAAAAGCATTACATAAGCTGGGAGGTCTCAAGCTTGAGATATATGTGAAAGAAAAAATCAATTTAATTACATTTGATAAGAAAAAAAAAAATTAAGATATTTCAATTTTGTAATGCTTATCACTGTGGTATGCCTTAACGTGCTAGTTTTATTTTTATTCTTATCCCTACATCAAAATTATATTTTTTATTATATCATATCGTAATCTTATCTTTAAAAAATGAAAAAAATAGTTGCAGGGTCCCCGCAACTTTATCATATCCTTTCTTTAAATATATATATATATATATATACCCCGCAACTTTTTATCATATCCGCTTTCTTTTAAATTATATATATATATATATACTATAATTATATATATGGTTAGTGTATTCTTCAACTGCCTTACTGGCATTGGCATTAAATGTTTGTCTTGAATGGTCTTAAGGTGCGATTCCTCACGTCCACCTCATACATTTAAAACTAAGAGACTTCTTCCACTCATAACTGTTGATTTCATTTGTTTTTTTTTTTTTCCTTTTTCCTTTGTCCGATCTCTCATGATTTATCTATTACCTGCCCCATTCGTCTAAGACTCGCTCCCAACATATATACAGATAGAAATGCTGGTTTGTTTTAGTCATCAATTTTATTTTTATGATCTTATTTTTTTTTCTTTCCTTTAAAAATTCTTATTTCTGTCTCTTTTGAAGAGATATTCATTTTATTTTTTAATAAGAATTTTTATTATTCAATATCAATAATAGGTTTTGTTGATGATGTATCATTTGGCTGTCATTTACCTAATTATCATATATCAATTGAATTTAGTGTTTGTTGTATTTTAACACTCATTATTATTAAGTATCCTCAACATTGAAAATGATGTATTATTATTAAATAAATTAACAATAGATTGGATCAGCACCAATAAATTGTACTATTTTTAAGCGAATTTAATATGCAAAATGAGAAATTCAAAATTTAAAATTGTTATTACAATTAGAAATGTTTTATTTACATACCACCTTCACCTTCAGTTCAAGTATGAATTAATCTCATTCGCATATTTATTGAATTAATATAATTTTTTTATACACGTGTAAAGATGACCACAATTTAGTTTAAATCAAAATCAGGTTCAATTCGGATAGAGAAAAAATCTGAATTACAACCAGTGGTGGAATCAATAATTTCAGACTGATTGAATTTTTTTTTTTTCAAAAGACAAAAATGTAATGAAAAAGTTAGGAGGGAGATTGATGGACCTTCATTTTGATTTTCCAAAATGAAGTAGTGATGCAAAAATAATAAATAAATAATTAACCAATAAATTAAATGCAGGTTGTATAATATTTAGTTTAGTCCAGCTATCTTCTTCTTGGAGGTCAGCTTAATTTGAACAGATCGGATATGTCGATACAATGTGGAAAAATTCTTTCTTTCAATAGTAATTTAATTATCTCAAAAGAATTTAATTTAATTATTTCAAGTTAAAAAAAAATTAGATTGACAATTTAATTAAATAAAGAAAGATTGACAGTTTCATAACATCCTATTCACATTGATCAGATTTTAAAACACAGAGAATCTGCATCTTGATTAATTTATTTACTGTAACAGCCAACAGATCTCATTCCTATCACATGTATCGTATAATAATTTTTTTATTTTATTTTATTGATTCTGCGTTGATAGTTCATTAGATTGATTAATTTAAATTTGCACCGGACAGACCTATAAAGAGATAAAACGCTTTCTCTCGAGTATTTAAAGAGATTCTATATTCAAGATACGAACTCGAAACTTCTGGTAAGAAGAGAATGAATGTCTATCCGATCATTTTACATGTTTATCGTATAATAATTTAGTGATTAAGTATTATTATTGTTCCCTTAATTAATTAATTAGTATCTGCCGAACAATATCCTTGAATATTAAATTTTAATTTAAAACTTGATTTCACATCCATCCAAGAAGAAGAAAAATAAAAAAAGAAATATTTTGTCCACACACAATTGCTTTTGTATCTAATGACGGAGTTCTTGGAATTTGACTAATTTATTTTTTAAATAAATAAAAAAAAAACTTGCTTGACAAGGTTGAATTATTACTTTAAAATTAAATATTGAATATTGAAACAATTAAATCTGATGGTGATTTGTAGCCCTGTTTTCCTAAAAAGACTACTACTGTTAGATCCCTTTTTGCCGCCATATATTGAGTATTCTTAGAATTTTCTTTGTACGAGATACGACAACTAATAAACAAAGTGCAATGTGATTAATTTAATATAATACGGATCTCAATATTCATTTCTGAAAATTGCAAGTTTTAATTTTATTTATGAAAATTTAAATTAAAATACTAAATAATACACATGTAAATTTAATTATTTATTTAAATCAAATTATAATCAAAATCAGATTTGGTGATTTCAATTATTTAATTTGATCATAATCTTCAATTCTAATTGCGGTTTTCTCAAAGTTTATTCATTTTCTTTAAATCGATTCCCAAACAGACTTACAGTATTTTCCTTGCAAAGACTGCTGGTCATTATTAATTGTGGTCAACCATCTAGAAGAACCAATATTTAATTAATAATTATAATCACTGTCGCACGCATTTTTTTAAACGTAATCATTTATTCTGCAAAATTTTTTATTTAAAACGTAAGGTTTATAACAAACAAAGCTCTCTATATTTGAATTTCGTGGTCCAACTGCCATTGTTGACCTGTCTTTCATCATCTCCTTGGCCTTTATATGCTTTGCTTTCCATGGTTTACTTCTCAACTGAAACCTTTTAAACCACAATCCAGACTTGTATAAAAACCAAATCTTTCTTCTCCACTTGCTATCATAAACAACAGGTTTTCTTTCTCTCTGTTTCTTTCAGGAACTAAAAATGGATATCATTTCTCTACCATTTACAGGCACATGGAGAAGATACTGGAGAAGAAAGCGATACCAAAGACTTGATGGAGGAATAAGAGGAAGGAAGAACATGAAGGTAGTAAGAATTGGAGATCGAGGAAGTCCGAAAAGGGGTTGGAAGATCAGAACAGCAGCGAAGCTGAGAATTTTAAAAGTTGTTACTTCTCCATTGAAGCTTATTGGGAAGCTGAGAAGCGCTTATGTAAATATGATGCTTAATTGGGCTGGAAATGATAATGTTTTCGGGAATAAAAGGATTCCAAAAGCAAGACAAGTTCCTATTGCTGCATATTCTAATGAAGAATTTGAGACCAGGCTTGTTTATGAGATTTATAAGGCCTTGAAAGCAACTCAGTAGATGAAGAAGATGATGGATCAATCCATTTTGTGTAAAGGTGATAAGAGTATAGATTTAGCTACTTCCTTTATTTTTTGTCTTTAATTTTTTCTTTTTTGGTCTTTAATTCCTTTAATTTTAGGAATTAGTTCCAAGTTATTGCCTTTATCCCATGGAAAGCTTGGGATATCTTGTATGTTTATTTTTGTATGTTTATTTTTCCTTGTAATGCTGCTTTTTAATTTTTAATTAATGTTTATGTTAAAATTTTGTGTCATTAGCTAGCTGAAAAATTGTATATTTTTTTTTCCTAATCGGATTACTGTCTTGTTCCATAATGTTCCATAATACTTATTACGTTTGAGAAAATTGTTTATTTTAAGATAGTTGTTATATTTGTAGTTTCAAAGAGTAATAAATGAATTTATCTATGTTTAACCTTTATATATAACCAATAATTATTATTTCAATTTTAATGGTTTTCTTAGAGAATTAATATTAAATTAAGGATAATATAGTCAATTTACTCAATAATTTATTGTGATTTAGATAAATTTAATGATTTTTTTAAAAGACATGAAATTTCAAATATGACAAATATCATAGAACAAATGTAGTATCATATTGATAAACTATATATGCCCCATGTTACCAATAATGGGTCTGGTATTTAATGCTCCCAGGGCATGGAAATAAATAAACCTATAAATATTTCTATCTTAGTTTATCATGTACTAGCTAGTTATATTAATTTTAGCCCAAGTTAAGTCAAGCACAAGCAATTAGGAATATTTCACAAGTTGAAATAAATAAAAAAGAAAATGCAAATAACTATTTAGCTCTTCAAGTTTGATCATAATTATAATTTTACCTCTCTTGTTTGAGAAATATACTCATTAATACTTGAGGTATAGCTAGCCATGTTAATTATTTAATTTTTCTAACTAAAAAGTATCATTTTAAGGTTAAACTATTTGCAAATAATATTTAATTATTTGGTGATTCACCTTGTAATATTTCATTATTTAGTCATTCATATTAAATATAGATATTTGCTCGAAACTATATTCCCAATAGTATATATATACATATATACATATTATGTTAGGTTGTTCAATCCTTTAGGATATATAGTCTATGCATGTATAAGACTAGTTTATATTTAATTACTCCTCTAAAGGTTAAAAGCATATGAGAAACACCCTATTGATGTGAAGATCACATTTATATTTTATATTGTGATTACATTAAGTAAGTCTTGATTTATTAGATTAATGTCATAACATCGTCAAATTATAAAATATTTTGTAGTATGATAAATGCAAATTTTTAGTCATTTTATATATAATTAATTAATAAAATAACATTGACAAATTATATTCTTTATATTAAAGAGAGAAGAAAAATACTATTTTTAAATGTTAATTGTAAGACATGTTCATTATATTTATTTTAATCTAAATAAAAATTTTTATATTAACATTATATAAATAAAAAATTAAATAAATATATAACGAGTAAATAAAAATTTTATATAACATTATATAATGTAAGACATGTTCATTATATTTATTTTAATCTAAATAAAAATTTTTATATTAACATTATATAAATAAAAAATTAAATAAATATATAACGAGTAAAAAAAGACATGCAACACAAGCGTCATAAAAAATTGATTACTAAAACGTCAAATTTTATATAACAGAACTTGAGCCGGAAAAAATAATTGAAAAATAAATATATTCAATCGAAGGACACGAACTAAAACTAAAGCATGAATGTTTTAAACATATAATTCATTCCAAAGTCCAATTTTTACGAAGCATAAAGTCAATAAACAAACTTGATAATAGACAAAGCTGTCTCTATATCTGAATTTCATGGTCCGACCACTATTGTTGACCTGACTTATATTATAATATAAGACTTTAATTATATGCTTTTGTTTTCCACGTTTTACTTGCTTCCCACGTGAAATCTTATAGACATTTCTTCTGATGCCCTACCATTTCGCGACATGTATAAAAATCAAATCTTTCTTCTCCACTCTGCTATCACAAACAACCGGTTCTCTTCTTTCTCTGTTTTCTTTCAGGAACTAAAAATGGACATTATTTCTGCGCCATTTACAGGCACATGGAGAAGATACTGGAGAAGAAAGCGATATCAAAGGCTTGATGGAGGAATAAGAGGAAGAAAGAATATGAAGGTAATAAGAATTGGAGATCGAGGAAGTCCGAAAAGGGGTTGGAAGATAAGAACAGTTGCCAAGATAAGAATTTTGAAAATTGTTACTTCTCCATTGAAGCTTATTGGGAAGCTGAAGAGCGCTTATGTTAATATGATGCTTAATTTGGCTGGAAATGTTGGTTTGTTGAATAATGATAGTGTTTTTGGAAATAAAAGGATTCCAAAAGCAAGGCAAGTTCCTACTTCTGCATATTCTAATGAAGAATTTGAGGCTAGACTTGTTTATGAGATTTATAAGGCCTTGAAAGCAACTCAGTAGATTGAGACGATGGATCAATTCTTACTGTGTAAACTGTAAAGGTGTGAGTGTAGATTTAGCTAGTTCCTTTATTTATTTTTTACTGGGTTCTGATTCCTTTAATAGTAGGAATTAGTTCCAAGTTCTTGCCTTTATCCCATAGAAAGTTTGGGAAATAATGTATTGTATTTTTGTTTTTGCTTGTAATTTTCCTTGTTTAATTTTTATTTTTATTTTAAAAAATTTATTTCGTTAGGTAACTGGAAACTTCTAGTTTTTTTTTTCTTTTGTTATTTTTTTTAAATTAAATTATTTTATTGACAAACGGGTCCAACCGTCTAACCCATTTAGCAACATTGTCCTGCATGAAATAATGAACTCTAAATAGCCATTGTTGAATTAAACAAGAACTTATATATCCCATTGTTTTGGTGTGTGCACTATTTGGTTTTTATCGGAAAAATTAAACCCGACGAATGGAATTTAATTATTTTGATAAGAAAATTTTAGTTTTTGATTATTGTTAATTTATATAAATTTTTTTTAATTGTTAGTTCGGTTATTTCAAAAACAATATAACAGAAATATTGAAGTTTTATTAATCAATATATAAGAAATTAGTTTTTATTACTATCACATAATATATAGTTTTAAATTACTTTTCATCAGTAACATTTCAACAAAATTATGTATATCTTATTAATAATATATTTAAAAATCAATTACTGGTATTTAAATTATTCAATATATAGTTTATTATTAGTTTTTTCTAATAAGAGTTAATTACTGAAGAAAAAGTAGTTTTTCATTATATCATGATGAAGAGGCTAAATTGTAGTAATATTTGTTAATATTAACAAAGCCTAAACCTTGGGCGTTGTCCTTTGACCCACGCATGGTCCTAAGCAGTAAGCACTGTGGACTATTTGTGAGTAATTGTGTCTTGATGTGGGTGAGTGTAGCACTAAGACTAGGCCGGGCTAGTCCGATAAGCCCAATAAGAATGCATGTACATATACCAATTTCAATTTTCTGCAAAAGAAACAGCATCTATATATAACATCTTCCTTAATACCGTGACACGTGGAAGAAATTAAAATCTTTTTGACTTTTTGACTTTTGTCGACACCTTGGTTATAAAGACATAAAAGTAAATTAACTAAACTTTATAAAATTGTAATTATGTTGCATCTGTCTCAACTGCTTGGCGAAAGAATTTAGATTATTGTATTATTAAATTTTCAGTTAAAAAAATGAATACAAGAAATAAGAAAAAAAGCACAATTTTTTTTTTTTTTTTAAATGGATATGTTTGGGCCATCCATGGGCTCTCTGCAGGCCAGGTGGAGCTTGAATATTGGAAACCCGTAGATTTTGTTCGAAGTCGAGGCAGTCTGAGCCGAATGAGTTTGGGGTGGTTCAATCGGTCTGGTTTAAATTAAATTAGAGCAATATAAACCGAATCAATTATAAATTTTAAGAATCAAATCAAATCAATTAGCATATAAAATTAAATAAATCAAACAAAATCAAACCAAACCAAACCAGTTTAATTCAACTTTTTAATTATCTTGAGGTTTTAAAATTTTTTAGACCAAAAAATTTAAATTTTTTGTACTGAAGCTAAAACAAAAAATACGTAAAAATCAAACTGAACTGATTTAGTTGGATTGATTTGACCGAACTTTGTCTAGCCCTATAGGAAGCACTTGAACATAAACAGATCTAATTGTGATTGGCTCACAGGGAACAAGTAGGACCTCCAATAGAAAGAGCTTCCTCAGAAATCAATATTTGGTCGAATTGTATATTCAATGGTGGGTTCTGATAGAAACTTAAGATATCCCAGCTGCTTAAATCCTATCAAGCCATGAACCAAACTTCAAATTTTAACAATGGTCCTAGCCTCTTAGCATCTTTCTATTTCCCCATTTTCGATTTTGACATTTTGCAATTTAATCATTAAACTTTTCCAAACACTAATAAAATTACCAAGACAAAGAAACTGGCCAGAGAATCAAGAAACCTGATTAATCAGAATCAGGAAAACTGGAAAAAAAAAAAGAAAAAGAAAAGGAAGAAGTTCCCCATTTTCGATTTTGACATTTTGCAATTTAATCATTAAACTTTTCCAAACACTAATAAAATTACCAAGACAAAGAAACTGGCCAGAGAATCAAGAAACCTGATTAATCAGAATCAGGAAAACTGGAAAAAAAAAAAGAAAAAGAAAAGGAAGAAGAAGAGTACATAAGAATTTGTGGTAGTTGGTTATATAACTAAGACATTACGCATTTTATCCTTTTAGATTGGAGGAGGGCCATAGTTAGTTAAAGTAGTGATAAGGAAGCAACTATACATTTATATATAATAAATAATTAATCATTAAACCTTCCTTAAAATATAACTTGAAAACTATGCCTTAATCCACTCATGATAGCTATATCAAACCTTCTAAGTTCAAACAAACCCACACCACTTTTATCTTCTCATCACATTCTTCCATACCACGCCATTCCCTTCCATTCCCTTCCCTTCCCTAACTAACCTCCCTTTAGTTTCCTTCTATTCTAACTAATAATTAAATATTTTTTATATTTTAATTATATATATATGTATATGTAGAATTTATCATTTATATATCTGCCCACATGTGCCTCTCTAACTGCTTTCTTTTCTGTTAGATTTTTAACAACGGTTTTGAGGTATTTGGCGGGAAGGAATTCCCCACTCCGACTCTTTGGAAAGTTTCTGATGTGATTTAGCACTTGATAGCATCATAGGCTTAAACCAATCCAATACTCCTCGTATTTATCATTCTAAATACAACTCATCAGAAACTTTCCATCGTCTTATCTTACAGTGTACCCATCCACAGTGGATTCACCCTTCTCCATTGTTTCTTTCTTGCACCCCATAAAACTCACTCCAGCTACCATTTTCTCTCTCTCTCTAGACAATCCTTCGCTGCTCAAGTAATCATTTCTCTCTCCCTCTCTGTTTCTCTCTATAACTTCTTAGGTTTGGTTTCGCGTTATTGATATTTATCTGTTTTGTTTTTTTGTTTGTTTGCAGTTATATACTTTAATATCATCGACAATGGAGAAAAGGGCATCGCCTCCGTTGGATCAAATAACCGTCTCTCCCGCCTCAAAATCACCGCCGCTGCCTTCATCTCCACCGTCTGATAATCGCACTCAACAATTCGCCTCGACTTTCACCACGCTGTATCACTCCATTTTCCCGCCAAAACCATCGCCGCTTCCATCATCTCTCTCCTTCTCTATAACTCCATCCACTTCCTCTCCGTCCTCTGCCGCCACCACTGACGACTTCGACATTGAGCATCAACTTCACCAGGCGCGCCTGATTTTGGAGTATCAGGAGCTCTGCGACCACTACGAGCTCTCTCTCGATCGTCTTCAAGCTCTCACGACAGAGATCGAATCACTCCGTCAAGAGAATACAAATCTCAGACTGGCCAATAACGACCTGGTCAAGCTTCTTAGCCTCTCCTCACAGGCCGCGATTCAGAGCCGCTTTAACAGTCGGGAGATGGTTGAACCAAGCAGGTTCGAGAGGAGGAATGGGGAGCGAGTCACGTTGCCAAAGAGCATCTCTGTCCGGTCTAGCGGTTATCTCAAACTGAATCGAGCCGATAATGCAAGCAATGGTGATCAGAGTAGCACCTCAACTCGGTCCCGAGTCGCGAGTCATCACGATCAATTCGTTTCTGGACTGGTGCGTTAGATATTTCCTCTCTCTTTTTAACAGAATTTCCAATATTGCACCGCCACGTCAACTGTATTTTTCGATTGTCGATTCCTCCGGTCGAGCCGTCATGTTAGAATACTTCCAGTTCGTTTGATTTACTGATCTTTTTATCAGAACCGTTGATCAAAAACAATTTTGTTACAATGTATATATGCAGGTGCAGCAGCGAGTCTGTGTGCCAGGGGGAGGCAAGGGGGATAATCCTGCAGTGGAATTGGAGGTGTTTAACCAAGGGATGTGGAAAACAGAGCTATGCAACAAATGGCAGGAGACAGGCGCGTGTCCTTATGGCGACAATTGTCAATTCGCTCACGGCATAAAAGAACTCCGTCCAGTTATAAGGCATCCAAGGTACAAAACTCAGGTTTGCAGAATGGTTGTTGCCGGCCAAGCATGTCCCTATGGTCACAGGTGCCACTTTCGCCACTCTCTCACTGAGCATGATAGGCTAATGGGCCCACGTTGATCTAAGGGAAGGAAATGCAAAGATTAAGTAAATGCCAAAGGGGATGTATATATGAAGATGAACCTAATCGTATATAACAACATGGAAAATTTAAAATAATAATGAAAGAACTGATAAATGAGGAATATATAAAATACATTAAAAATATATAATAAATAGTAAAAAAAGGGTAATTCAGGGTTGGTTGATAAATTTTTGTAAGCGAGAGAAATTGTTTGTTATAGGGAAGTATTTCTGCATTCTGATATGAATTGAGCCGGTTGGGTGACTCTATGTAATGATGATATTTTGTTGTGCAATGCTACGCAACCTTCACTTCAAGTTAGTTATTTGTATTCTCTTTGTGATCTCTCTCACTCTAACACACCACGCACACACAGTCAAATTAAATTATAAATATTTGGATTTGTTGTGGACGTGTAAAGATATCAATGTTATTGTTGCATTTTGTCAATTTTGATGTTGATTGTGGGAGGGAATGTGTTGTTACATCTTTTCTAATGCCTCTCAGTATCAATATTTTAAGGTTTTAGTATTAAATGATACGTGAAACGCATGGATTTGGAAATTTATATTATACGTCATCTTTAATGTGACAAAAAAACGTAGATCACATTTTGAATAAAATGTTTAATCTGGTCTACTACGTATGAAAAAAAAAACAGCTAATTGGAAAATTTTTCTACTCATAGACCAAAATAGTAAAAATAAAAAAATCACTGTTCATTAATATACTTTTAATTGTTAATTTTCAAAAATACTTTTAATACACTACAAAAGAAAATAATATTCAAATTAATTTACTTCTTAAAAAATTGAAAGTAGAAGTAATTATTATTATTATAATTTACTTCTTAAAAGAATCAAAGTAGAAGTAAATTCTAATTGCAGATGCCAAGATTTGTTATCTGAATTTACAATTATTTATGTAAAACAAAATGAAGTAAATAGAATTTATTCTATTAAAATTTTATGGTTTAATTCTCATCATTCATTTAATCAATCTATGTAATTATCAATGACATAAATAGTAGATCCTTTTTTTCTTAATATTTTTTTAGATACTAGAGGAAGGGATGGAATCCAGAAAGAAAACATAAGAAATAGATTAACTAGGCACTAGTCGAGGCCATGAAGTGCCACAACGGTCCCATCTAATTAAATCCAAAACAGCAGCAGGAGGTTGATGATGTATACTCCTCCTAACAGGTGCAACAACCACAAGATCTGCCATGCCATCAGCCACTTGGTTCGCCTCTCGGTAGCAATGCCGTAAAGAAACCCTCTAGTCCCTCCTAGCCAACAGCTCTCTAATGAGGGAAAGCACATTAACAAAACGTCCATTAGAACAATCCTGCTTCAAAACCAGGTCAATAGCCATCTTTGAGTCCACATAGAGAATATTAGCTTGTTAGTAAGTTACATATGTATGAAACAAGATTGGAAAATAAAGGAGATGAGGGCACATGGAGACAGATTTGAAATATATCCACACTGGTTAAACAAGAAGAGAATAGAAAGGGGTTGACTATAAATAACAAGCCGGAATAACTTAATATTATATTTATCTGGACAATGAGCAATATGAAAGCTCATGGCTTAGGCCCGTGATTTCCATTGTACTTTGAAAGATTGTTGTCATTAGGTCTCCCCAAGAGGAAGATCCTGCATATCATAATTTATAGTACCGCCTTTCCAATTTCATTTCTAATATTATTTGTCGGCAAACGGCTCGTCATGGAAATGGGCATAGTCCAATCGGAAGGTACTCATGATCTTGACATTAGAAAGTCGGGTTGACCTTATCCCCTCCCTGTAACTTAGATTTAAAAAAAAAAAAAAAAAAAAAGTCGCGGTTGAACCTTATCCCCTCCCTGCTAACTTAGATTTAAAAAAAAAAAAAAAAAAAGTGATATGGTCATTAATGAATCTCTGCAACTACGTCTTTCAGCTGAATTATATTTAAAAAAAAAAAAAAAAAAGTGAATGGTCATTAATGAATCTCTGCAACTAGTCTCAGCTGAATTAGATTATAATGCATCGAAATGTATGAGAGAATCACTTGAACCAGATTATAATGCATTGAAATGTATGAGAGAAACAACAACGAACTAGATGCCAAGAGTACTAAGGAGATTTTTTGCCGCTATATTGGTATACTGCAAGCTGACATATGTGATGAGATTGTGAGATGATTACAGTTATGTCATATAAATTGTTGTTAGTTGTTAATTATATGTTTGAATTTTTTAGTGAAAATGATCATATACTATTGGAGTACGTGAGTAATCCTACGTTGGATAAATACAACTAACTAAAAGGGCATATAATGTGAAGAGTGAACCAACTAAAATGGTTTAGATTATTCTGCGTTAAAGATAAACACAACTCGTTATAAGCCCAATATTAAATATATAATTGAATTTGATTTGATTTTTATTAGGTGATATTGTGACATTATGGGGTAGTTAGAGTGGAATTTCAACAAATGGTGATTTATAAAATCATGGTTGTAAAGTAAGATAAAAATTATAATTAATACTTAATATTATAAAAAATAATAATAAATAGACATAAATAACGAGTAAAAAATGAATAATAATTACGTGCAATAAACGTAAAAAAAATCTAGTTAGACTATAAAAAAGATAAAAGATAATTAATGATTTCATATTTCTCAAAAGGTGTATCTTTTTCATGTTGACTTTTTTTAATAAATGATTATTAGTTTTTCACATAAATCTTAAAATGAAATTAAGCTAATATGAACTCGAACATTCTTTAGTTGATCTTTTCAACAATGAACACAATTTTAAATATATGTTTTCTAAAATTTAATTAAGTTGAATTTGTTTATACATAAAGAAAATCTAAATAGGATTATGTCAATTATATTAGTCACCATTCATAGATTAACTCAATAAAATAGTGTCATCTAAAATTATATCAATTTTTATACTATGAAAATAGTAAAAGATAATTAAAAAAGAATATAACTGTTATATGATAGCACTTACAAAACACTGTTCTATTGTGTTAATTCATATGCAACATGGTAAATATGTAATAAATGATGATTCTTCAATGTTATCCTTATTTATATTAGATAAAATAATTCTTTTACTATTTATATTAGATAAAATAATTCTTTATTTTTGAAATAAAGGTAATCCGATCCAATTACCCTGATTTTGTTATGCTTTGAAAAAATTAATTGCTTCCTTAATTCCGTATAGAAACATTAAATGACTTGTATTTTGAGACAGTAAGAGTATAGCTTACTTAAAGATTTCTTTTATTTATTTATAACGAGATAAGACTCTAAGAAATCAGGTGGGACGAAAAGAATCAAATTCTCTTATATTTACAATAATTACTAACAAGCAAACCAATAGAATTAATTCAGTTATTAAGTATGGCATGAGGGTTGAATTTTTCGGTCGATCAGAATTTAATTTTAATGAAAAATATATTTGAGACGAAATATATACACAATAAGAATTTATTAAAAAGAAAATAAAATTTCAATAGATACGTATAAATTGACTCGAGAAAACCTAATTATAAATACTAAAAAAATTAACAAAAGTAACCATGTAGAGGTTAATTAAAATGTTTGGATGTAGATGAATTTAAATATTAAAATTTAAAATTGAAAATTTAACCTCTTTATATGCGGATTTGAATAGGAAATGAGAAATTTGAAATTGGATGTTCACATCTTATATGTATTTGACATCATTATGTGAATAACTGGAACACTATCAGATTATGTGGGTAAGAAAATAAAAGTAGATTTATGTTCTCTAACCATATATAGCCTTATAAATTTGAATTGAAATTTGAAACCCACTTGGAGGTCAACATAAATATAAATTTGTATGCATCTTCTGATACAGAATATCTTCTTTAATTAATTTTCAGCTATAAAAATACACTTAAAAAGGTGCTACAACTCTGAGTCTCTGACTCATCATTTATGAAATTTCTTTTTTTGAAAAAAAAAAATAATAAGTTGATGAGTTAACAAAAGTTGAAAAAACACAGCATTTCTGCTTTTTCAGTTACCAGCAAATAAAATCCAGGTAAAGATTAGGTCACACTTAATGTTTACAGTTTTCTCTTTAACTTTTAACCAAATGTTGCTTACTGTGTTTTTTTCCTAAAATGGGTACTTTCAGTACATATAAATTTGTGCTTTGACATCAAAAGGTAGGAGAGAGAGAGAGAGAGAGAGAGAGAGAGAGAGAGAGCAAATCATTTTCATGGATTTGAATCAGTCAACTGAATTCAACCCTTCTTCAAACACTAATTCTCCCCCACCAATCCATCATTTCATGCCAATCTCTAATAATTTCATGTTCCCTAATTACCATTATCAGCCAACAAAGCAGGTGAGAGCTAACCCTAATTAAATTGCTTTCTTGTTTTGTATGTTATAGTTAATTGTCTTCTTCTTGTTATCATTATAATTGACATGTAGGACTGTCAAGAGGCAAGGCATTCCAGGTTTATGCAAATGCAGAAGCAGAATTTGGATTTTTTTTGGAATCAACAACTATTGGAGATTCAAACTACTTCAGGTAATTAATTAATTAATTTGAATTTCTTGTCAATTGAGATGGATATGTAATTATATATTTACTAATCTGTATACCCACGTTGGGTTCTTCTTGATCTATCTAAGCGTGCAAGACTCATCATCAACTACCTCTCGCAAGGATCAAAAGGATCATGAAATCAGATGGAGAAGTGAAGGTTTGATATATATATATATATATATTTTTAAGCGCTTCTGGCTAAATTGATTAATAGATTCAAGAAACTCTCTTCACCTTTCTTTAGCTTGTTTCTTGTTTGTTTGGTGTAAGCTCAAAGCTAACAACGAAACGTATGATTTTTTAGATGATAAGCGCAGACACTCCTATATTATTCTCAAAAGCGTGTGAGCTCTTCATTCTGGAGCTGACTCTTCGGGCATGGCTACAAACTGAAGAATGTAAGCGTCGAACTCTGCAGCGCTGTGACATAGCTAGAGCCATCAGGCATGATGATGCTCTTGATTTCTTGGTTGATGTGGTTCCTCATGATCATGATCATGACCATGGTCATCCTAATAAGGTGTTCTTCTGTTTCTCCCTTTCCTCTCTAAATTTAATGCATTGGATATTGACATTAATAGTCTGTTTGGCATTGCCATTCGAACATTACTTTTTTTTTTTTCTTTTTTTTTTTTGAAAAGCTTCTTTTTATTGAATATATTTATTGTGTGCGTCCAATTGGTGGATTTGGCCATTGGTACGTTACTTAAGACCTTATAGGGAAATAGATTCTAACCCATATACTGCCTTAAAGTTTGATTATATTTTTCAGCTAAAATTGAATAAAGGTTCGATTATTTAATTTCCTTGCTAAGTTTTCCACTTTCAATTTGAATCAAAGAACGGATGCCTTTTTTTATCAAGTGAGCAAGCTCATTTTTATTAACAAGCTTGAGATAGGAAGAATAATAGCTTGTTACTTGCCCAGTTGCCCAACCTCAGCTGCTCCGGGTTTAGTTTTGTTGAGGTCTGCTGGCCTAGGATGGTGATGGTAGTGTTCAAGGGGGACTAGGTAGAGCTGCATGTGGGAGTATATCGAAGTGTTGATGGCCATTGGGTGACTGGGTATGATGCTGATGTAGGCAGCTGTGATGCTGTGGAAGCTGAATTATGGGGTCTCTACGATGGGTTTAAGATAGGAATGGAATGGTGACTGAAATCTGGTTCAGTTCCAACTAGATTCTGAGGTATATAGTTATTCAGTTTTTAGCTTTGAAGAAGGTAGGAGTGCTGCTTTATAGAAACCTGATTCAAGCTTGTTTGGAGGCTTTGGACCTCTTGAGCAGAGATTGACGATTCAATAAATAGGCTATTTCTGGACCCCATGGCTTTCATGTTTTGACTAATCATTCTCCTAAGACACGTGAGTTGTTAGAGGCTGACAGTGTTGGAGTTGTCTGGACTCAAGTGCATGTAAAAAAGAAAAATCACCAAATAAAGTGTTGACGGGAGTAGCAAGCGAACTCTACCATCACGTTCGGATGAATAGCTATACCCTTTTCCTGAATTGCAAGGGGCAAACTGGGTTTTCTTCCTTTAGAGGAGCAATAAACTTTTTTATTTTTTTCTTTCGGTAATGGTGATTTTATATTCAGGAGGATGAGAGTGGAAAATATGGTGAAGCAAATGAACGTGTTGCTGCTATCCAAGTGCCATTTCCTATGATAGACATTAATGAGGTAAGTAAATACTTCAAATGATCTTATTACCATTACTGAAAACTGAGGGCATCATATTTTACTACCTTCATTTCATAATATTTGTCACAATTATAGTTTCAATGAGTAATAAATTTTGTTTTCATATTTACCCTTTATATATGATCAATAATTATTATTTCAATTTAATACTTTTCTTAGAGAATTAGTATTAAATTAAGGATAATATAGTCAATTTTACTCAATAATTTATTGTAACTTAGACAAATTTAACAATTTTCTTAAAACGTGAAATTTCAAAAATGACAAGTATTATAGAACAGTGGTAATAATTATTTCATCTTATTAACAAGTAACAATGGGCCAAAAGCCCATTAGTATGAAAAGTTCAAAGTTATAAGCAAGCTAAACTATTTCAAACCATTTTCTTATGTCCTCTTTCTCTATTTCACCATTTTTCTCTAATTTTGTCATCTTAGAAAGTTTAAAATATTTCATTATTGAATTAGAAAAACAAATTATATATTGGCTTTTTGGTAATATATAAAATTACTAAAGTCTATTGGATTAAGAGTCTATTAGATTTTAAAATCTTTTAAAATTTTAATTACATTCAATCTAGATTTTTTTAGAGTCTATTAAAATTTTGTGGTATTAAATTTAGACTTTTATAAAATCCATAAAAATCTGATATGTTCAATTGTGACTATTTAAAATTCCATACAAATATGATGGATTCAAAAAATTACTAATTTGGAAGTATTGTATAAAATTATTGATTTCATTGAATTTTAAAATGCTAGGTATAAATAAAAGAGTCATTCACATTCATCCTCCAACCCAAATATTTGAAAAGTCTTTTAAAATCTAATATAGTCTTATTTCACTACACCCACGCATGACAATTTTATCCGACCCAGTGGGTACCCCGATCCGATTTTAGCGGATTTGGTTAGTGGATAAACGGATTTTGGATGGATTTGAATAGTATTGTTACTCGCAAAGATTTCATGTTGGGTTTGGGATCATGGACTTGGGTATCCGCTACTTGTTACCCATTTAATAAATATTCAAAAAAAAAAAATTAAAATAAGAGAAAATTATAATTTTACCCCTATGTGTTGTTGAAATTAACTACTGTACTCTTGTATTTTTTAAAAAAAGTACTACTATACCCTTATGGTTTAGACTGTTAAACATAGTTTTCCTTCTATCCATTTTATATACTTTCAGTAAATTGCTATGAGATGACTTTAATGACCCTAACTAAAAGATAAAATCAGTTTTGTTTTGAAATCAATTTTTTATCTTGCCGGAATATTGTTAGTGTTGTTGCCTGCAGTGGCCGAAAAATTGAGTTATCTCATAATCTTTCAATCTAACCATCAAAATAATTAGAATCTCATGGGAAAGTCAATTTTTACACCCACTTCCTTTTTTTTTTATCACCAATTAAAACTAATATCAAAAAATTCTTAAACCCAAAATTTTTGGAGAGAGAAAAACTTGTTCATATTTTCTCTCTAAATTGAAAATCATAATCTTATTGTTATTGAACAATAACAACAAGGAAGAATAAAGATTTCTATTACTATATTAATCTCTTCTTTTTCTTATTTTAGGGAGATAAGCTAGGGAGAGAAATTGTATAATTGCTATTATTCTTTGTTTCTACTCATTGATTCATGCACAAACAGCTTTATGTGCCAAAAAACTATAACAAATTATTCCAAACACAAGCAATTCAACTCTTAGATACTCTTGCAATGACCAAAATAAAACTTGTCAAGCTTACATTGTCTCGAGATTCAAACTCTTTCAAATATTATCATCTCTATTTCTATTTTTCTGAGCTTTGACACATCTCAAATTTGTGCAAAAAATGAATGTTTTTGAAACAAAAATCTATTGGGAGATTCTCATATATGTATGGTAGTGATTATGGAGGGAGAAAAAGTGTTATAGAGAAGCTGGAATCTATGGAGAGGAAGTTTTGGAAATGTTTTCTAAAAGAGAAAGAGAGGAAGAAGAGGTGTTTTGGTGAAAAAAAAATTTCTCTCTCTTTAGACTGCTGGATTTTCTTTGACTTGTTCTTTGAAAGTACAAAAAATAGACGAAATAAGTACAGGATATAAGGGACCTAAAATATGAGAGTATAGTAGTGTATTTTAAAAAACGTAAGGGTAAATAGTTAATTTTGATAAAACATAGGGGTACGAATGTAATTTTCTCTTAAAATAATTTTTTAAAAAAATAAAATTATATATAAACATCTTTTTAATTATAAAAGACGGAAATAGTAACAGGATATAGAAGGGACGCTAAAATATGAAGAGTAATAGGTAGTGTATTTTAAAGAACGTAAGGGTAAATAGTTAAATTTTGATTAGAAATCATAGGGGTATCGAATGTAATTTGTCTCTTAAATAATTTTTTAAAAAAATAAAATTTATATATAAAACATCTTTTTAATTATAGATTAATGCTATAATCATATTTAATATTTATATTATTTTTTTATTAAGTCAAAAGTAATAATTTTAAATATCTTTTTATTTTTATTAAGTCAAAATAATAATTTTATATCTTTTACTTTTTATTTTTAAAAAATTAAGATAAAAAATTATTTTTAATGCTAAACGGGTATTTAAATGGATTCGAGCATTTAAACGGATAATTATAATAAGATTTGGAACGGGTTCGAGTCCGGCTAGTGCATTCTAAGTGGGTACCTGACTCGTTGCCATCCCTAAATAACTCGCCTTAAGGTATAAAACAATATATTATTTATTGAATTAATTTTGTATTAATTCATATGCTGAGAATTTGATATTTTGACAACAAATCCATATTAATACTATTGCAAATTTTTTCGGAATCAATTTGATTATTTTTATGGGTTGATTTCAATTAAATAAGAAAATTGAAAAGTTTTGAAATAGTTGAAAAATTGAAAAACTCAGTTTGTCGTTGTTGTGGCCGGATCTCCAGGCTCCATGAGCTATAGGTGACGAGCCGTGCATTGAGCCCGTCTCAATGTGCGTCACCTCCTTGTGTGAGCTCTGGTCGCCGACACAGATCTTGGCTGCGGATGTTGCTGGTTTTTGGTTTTAAATATGTACACACACACACACACTTGCAATTTTCCGGGAGACGGTTGTCGTTCAGTTAAAGGACGAGAAGTCCATGGTCTTCAACATTGCGACTATTTTGGCACCATGAATGGCCAACGGCGACGCTGGCTATTACAGATCTTTCACTGTCGGTGGCGGTAAGGTTTTAACGAAGAAGAAAATGATTTTCAAAAAATGACGCATTTTGCTTTTTGGTCCCCATTGTTTTTCCATTTTTCAATTGGATTCAAAAACTTTTTATTTTATTCAATTAAGTCCTGAAATTAATTTTGATTGAAGATATAAAAGTCATTGTAATTTCATCAAAATCAGTCAAAATTTATAGAAAAAAGTCTCACCAATTCCATAAAACTTTATGTAGAATTCTAGTGAAATGTGTAAAAATCTTAGAATATCCTTCAATTCTATCAAACTCAATAATTTTTTTAAATCTAACACAATCTTAATTCAATACACCCCTGAAATAATCAAAACTGAGTGCAATGCATATTGAACTAGGGGTGTGCACGGGACTGCGGGAATGCCGATCCATTCCCGAAAATCATCCCGAATTTTTCATCCCGAGAAAATCTAACATTAATTTCATAGTCCTGTCCCAAATCTCGTCTCGAAAGTATTTATGGGATCTGGTTCTTTGATTAAAAACGACCTGTACCGATTCAAGTTTTGTCCCATTCTGTCTCGGTCCGAAAATCAAGAATTCCCATCCCTTTTTTTTTTAATTCTAGTTGTCTTTTTTGTATGAATTTCAAATTATGCCCCTAAAAATCATTTTATCCTTTTTACTCTACTTTTTTTTTTATAATACCAATTACTACTAAAGTAATAATAATACGAAAAAAAAATATATCTATTTTTTAAAATATAAAATAAATCAATTAATTACACATAATTTTCAACATAGATTTTTCCTCTGTTATTCCACAATATATGTTGAATAAATCTTTTTTAATAAATTTTTTTCTATTAAACAAAAAATAGAAAGATTAATCAATATAAGAGAAAATATTAACTTCAATTAATCTAATTGTTGGATTATTTTTTTTTGAGGAATAATTGTTGGATTATTGGTTATGCTTAATGCTTTTTTTTTTGAGGAATAATTGTTGGATTATTGGTTATGCTTAATGCTATCATTATTTATTTTTCAAATGATATTCAAAATTAAATTGCATAAGTATTAAATTTAAATTAGCTTGAAGACAACAGTAACAAAAATAATGACGAGTTAAAATTCATAAAATACATAAAAAGTTAAATTGGATATAATATTTGCATTATTTTATTTTATTATATTTAACGCTTTTATTAAATATAAAATAACTACTTAAAAATCTTTTATTATAACTTTAGTGGTAGATCATGAACGATTGAATTAATTATTTGTTTTATTCTTTTGTTTTTCAAATCAAACTTATATAAATGAGTTTTATTTGATTGTAGTCGATGAATATAATAACTTTTTTTATCTTTTTTTGATGAAAAATAATTTAGTAAAATTATGAAAAATCCATTGATTTCTGACCCGATCTATTCCATCTTGTCTCATAGACTTGAATTATCGTCTCGTTCTACCCTAAAAAATTAGATGGGATAGGACGGGACTACATATCTATTGGGACGTGATTCTGACTTCACTTTTTACATTTCAATATTTTGGGATGGGACTAGAAATTATGAATTCCCATCCCAACCCAGCATGGACACCCCTAATTTGAACTTATTAATAATAGAAATTGGCTAAAAGACTATTATTATGAAACTTCAAAGTAACCAGCAAGCTAGGCTATTTCACACCCTTTTCTAATGATCATTTTCTCTCTTTCACCTTTTTCTTGTTTTTCCGTTTTTATGATTTTTGAAAAGTGCAAACATTTGAATTATTGAATTAGAAAAACAAATTGTATATACACACAAACTAAAACTCCTGCTAAAATCATTGTTCAAACTAATAACTAAAATCTTTTTTTTTTTTTTTTTTTTTTAGCTAAAACTGCTCTGCTAAAATCATTGTTTCAGACTAATCTAAAATCGTTTTTTTTTTTTTTTTTTTTTTTTGTCAGGATTTGGTCTTGACAGATCATGAAATTGCTGAACAATTCATGATGAGATCACCAATGCCTTCTGCTGAATTCAGTTTTGAACCTCATTTTAAGGTGAAGGTAATATCAGATACTATTCCATTATAATCATTTTATCTACATCCAATTTATAAACCTATTTATAGACTAGACTAAATTAATGAGAAATAATATTTTTTTTCTTCAAATGAGGATACAATTGGCTATTATATTGAGAAAAAATAAATAAATTGAGAATAATTTTTGAAAAATTTTTATTTTGATTGGTTCGGTTTATGAATTGGCACACTGGTCTAAAATCTAAATATGTTTTATCTCCATAATATCTCCATAAGTATATAATATATAAGTATATATATATATATATATAATAATATATATAGTATAATATATTGCTGGACAAAATACATCTAATTATATATAATTGCTGGACAAAATACATCTAATTCAATTAAAAAACTTTCATTTCCATCTCAATTTCAGCAAATTTTCATTTTTTTTATTTAATTTTTGTGCAATTATTTTTTGGTTAATTTGTATAGTCGTGTTTACTCGAATAAAACGTTTTATATGAATTTAAATGCTGACCCTAAATTTACTATATGTACATATATTAAATTTTAAATTTTTTACAGCCAGATGTATAACAGAGAATCTTACTTCTGAGGCTTCAGAGAAAGCATGATAACGAAAACTGAAGGAAGAAAGTAGCTGCTGGCAGCAAACATCTTCTAATCTGGAAAAATAAATGAACTTATATTTTAATTTGTATTTGATGTTAAGTACATTTTTTTTTTAACCAGAATTCTATTTAATTTACGGTATGATATTTAAGTCAAAATTGAGACATTCTCTCCTATGTTAAAGTAACAGTAGATGGCTGTTACTGGATTCATAACTGAATTCATAGATAAGTAATTCTCTTATTAAAGACTGTTGATGGCATGAAATTAGCTTAAGAAAGCTAAATTTTGATTGTAGTTAATTGCAGGGATGAAACTAGACGCTAAGCTCTGAATGCCAAAAGCAAAAATAGAATTTTAGAGACACTAATATTGTATATTTTTGAAACTATAAATCTAATTTGTAGGATAAAAAACATTTAAGGGCCATGCCCTCCCAAACTCTAAGTAGGTCTCCTCCTAGTTAATTGGGCTCTTAAAAATTTTTTTGATTATCCCTACTTAAATTAACAAATTCTACAAAGCTAAAATAAAAATTACTGCCTCTAAACTCCACTCATACTCACGTCTCTATCATTTTCATTTTCTTGTGTTGTGGGATCCCTCCAACATGTGGGACCCACACAAGTTTGAAGGAAAAAAAAAAAAAAAAGGAACCACACAAGTTTGAAGGAAAAAAAAAAAAAAAGAAAAACGTGGGTATTTAAAAAAAAAAAAAAAGAAAAACGTGGTATTTGAAAAAAAATTGGCGATCTTCTTTGACAAAGTATAAAGACGTGAATGAGTTATACACGACTCATTCACTGAACTGCCTATAAAAGGAGGCAGATGAAGTTCATTTAAACGTACAAAAATAAAAAGAATAGAAATACATAGTGTTTAGAATTTTAAGAAAGGGTTCTTAAAATTGGGAGAGAGAGAAAATAGTGAGGATTATAATTTTTTGGGGTATTTTTGTGAAACACTTAGAATACCACTATTTTTGTAATTTCTTTTGTACCTACTATTTTTTAGTGGAAGAATTATTCGAAGTTTTTGTCCTGTGGAAGTAGCCCATAACAGTTGAATGATGAACCACGTAAATCTTGGTGTTCTTATTTTTCATCTGGTATTTACGGTTATTATTTAAATTTTTACAGTGATTATTATTTCTGGTGGATTCGATCGTCAACATTTAATACGTAATTATTGGAAGTATATGTGATAATAGTAATTTTATTTTACTTTTATCACTGATATTTTTTTCCCGCAGGCCTCACTCGGATCAGTTATAATCCCAACATCATGTGTTGTTCAATAGAATCAAATTCTTAATTAATAAATAAAGAGAGCCCACATATTTATAATTGGTTAGATTAAATTCAGTGAATTGATTATAAATGAGATTGTAAATGAGCTAAAAGTTATTGAACTCAAACTTAGCCCACTAAAGATATAATCGTAATTTATTGATGTGGCTCAGTTGACAACACAGACTGAACATGTGAAAAAAGTTTTTGAATTAGATGATCACTAAAAACATTTGTAAAGAGGGGGTAAAGAACATTAATTGTGAATAAATCCAAACTGAATTAGGCAGTCCAGCTATTGATGTTTTTTTTTTTTAAAAAAAAAAAAATAAAAAAAAAAAAGAGAGATATTGCTTGAACTTTAAAAAATTTAAGTTGCAGTGAAATTATCTGGCAGATTATGTTTTAAAAAAAAAAAAAGTCGCTTTATTACTTAAGTTTATTTATTTTTTTTTTTAAAAAAAAAAAAAGAGATATGCTTGAACTTAAAAATTTAAGTTGCAGTGAAATTCATCTGCAGATTATGTTTAAAAAAAAAAAGTCTCTTTATTACTAAGTTTATTTAAATTTTTATATTAAACTCAGATTTAATCTCAATTTATTTATTAATAGAGCCCAATAAAAAAAATTAAATTTAGCCTATTAAATTCATGGATTTAAATGAATTTCAAGTCCATTTAATTATCCTTTGCGTACACTTCCATTACATGCCACTTTATGCTGGCGAGCTGTCGAGCAACAAATATGTACGATCGGTAGAATCTGTCAATCTGATATGACGAAATATTCCCAAAGTATAAATAGTTTAAAGAAATGTGAAAATATCTTTGCGTGAAATTCTAAAGTAAAAAGCATCTCTTTGATGCAATAAGTCAAAAAGCTTATGTCTCATACCGACATTTTTTCTTAATTCACAACACACTTCTTCAAAATCGTAAATTACAAATTCAGTCCTTGTATTTTTGATATTATCCTTATATCCCTCATTTTTCTTATAATTTTAATTTTGTACGGTTCAAACTGACTTACTTTCTAGAAAGTATAACATGATCGTATTTGGCTGATTCCTTAAATTCTTAGAAAGTAAAAATGTGTTAATAATATTTGATATTACAAATGACATAAATATTTCTACTAGAAAAGTCTTCACATGAAATCTTTGGCAAACAAAAAAATAAAAAGAAATGGACAAAATAGAAAGTGATAATACTTTAAATTCAAGAAGTTAAGTTCTTTAAAATGGGGGAGGAAGTAACTTCCTGTACGGTCAAGGAAGTGAGTTTTCAATTTTCGAAAACTTCTCTTCCAGTGTCAACTAAACATATGACTAATTTTAACTCTCCATCTCTAATTACTCCAAACCAAGCATGAATAAGTTTCAAATTTTTTTTGATGTGCATGACTATTCTAAATTCACAACTCATTGGAAGAAGGAAAGAAGAAAATTAAATTAAATTAAATTTTTAAATATTAAATCTTTATTTCGATTGTAAATTTTAACGCTTAATCTAATAAATGTAATTTATTATTTAATTTAAGTTGATATTATAGGTAGGGGTGAGCATTCGATTAATCCGAACCAATCCAAACTGAATAACTCAATCCTAATATAGCCAAATTTCATAAATTTATTATCCAATCCAAACCATATTTAATGTAAAATCGAAAATAACCGAACCTAATAATATGCAGTTTTATTATAAAAAACCGTAACCTTCCGAATAATCGAATTAGTATTTTCAGTTGATTAAACCAAACCGATTACAAGAAAATATCCAAATTCAAAATTTTTCAATATATGTGCTCGTGTCTTCAGATTTACAATTTATACTCCTAAAGCAACTATATACAAATGCTTATAAATTTATAGACAATTGTATAGAATAAAAAAATAACTAATAAAATTAATTAATTAATCTAACGAGTCACAAGTGTCCAAATAAAAATTACAAAAGTAGTCATATCTAAATCCAACTATCCAAATAACAATTAATATGATTAACATTAAAAGAAGTATTCAATAAACTTTCAGTTACAAAATTACAATTAGTAACCAATTAAGCATGACCTTTTTTATTAGTGATCTCATAAGTTATATTATATTGTTGTCACCTGTCATAAAAACTATATAAATATAGTTTGCACTCTTGGTTTTATTTTAATATGAGGTAAAAAATGCAATGTTTTGATAAAAAACAATCTGAGATAAAAAAAATATATATCTTGAGTACTAGTCTAGTTAATTTGGATTAACCGAGATTTTTTCAGACTAAATGCATCAAAATCGAAAAATCAAATTAATATTTATAATTAACCGATCTAAACCAAAACTAATTTATTAACAGTCGAATCAAACCAAAATTACTCGGTCTAGTTTGAATTTTCGGCTATATCCGTGACTTGCTCATTCCTAATTATAGGACTAACTCAGTATGAGCAGAATTAAACTTAGCCGAATGAGATTCTTTATGGATATACGGTTCCATATCACAGTAAAATTCATTGAATCATACAAAGAGGGAAAGAATCAAAGCAGCAAAATTAGAAAACTTGTGGTCCAACAAGCAAAACCCAAAAGTATAGTCTAAAAATAAGATAAAACATTTAAAACCAAAGCAAGAGTTAGGTAGGCTCCATTGGTCTATAAATAGGCTAAGCCTGCACTTGTCGAATGCATAGGCTTGATCTTGTTCTTTGACATAAGAAGAAGAAGAAGAAGATAATTATGATCATGAGAAGGGGGATAGGGAGATTCAGAGCTACTGGAAGTTGTTGGAATGGGCGGTTTGGGAAAGAATTGAAGTTTATATCAATTAATTATTATATTATATATTTTTTCTCTTATTTAATTTACTCTTTCAGTAGAGAATGTATACATGGTAAATATTTCTTTCCCAATGTCGCCCATTCCGATGATTTCCAGAAGCTCGTCCCTTTCCCTTCTTTTCTCTGCACTCCTCACCATCTCAAGCATTTGCGTACAAATTAATATCCTTTTCTTTTAGCTTCTGATTTATTTTTATCTTTGTTTTTCCTTTATTTATTTATTTATTATCGTAGAAAAAAAATTTAGCAATCCAATTTTCCAGTTTTCTTGCTAATTAATGTTTATTAGTGATAATCACGACTATACATTTGAATGTTTAGGGAAGTTTTACAGATTATTTGGATGGAGATTATTTGATAGGTTTAGAGAGTAAAGTAAGATAGAGAGATTATTTAGTCCTTTGGGAAGAGAGTGTATGAGAGAATATAGTTTTTTGAAAGTTTTGAAAACCCGTCTAAACACTCCAATTTTCAACATTCCTAATTGGAGTGCAAGAATGGTTAAAAAATTTAATTTTTAAAATTATCTATAATTATATTTATAAATCTTCCATGATAAGGTATTTTTAGAATATTTATGTTTAACAATATCTTTTTTTGCCATTAAATCAAACAAAACAATGTTATTAAACCTTCATTTACCATACTTTCTCCCACAAATACAAAAAGACATTTATCATATTTTCCGTACTATATTTTACTATATCTTAATTTAACGATCCCTCTCTTCCATTATCCAAATAAAGCGTTAAGAGTAAAATAAGATAAAGTAAGATTAAATTTATTAGTTTCTTTGAGAAGAAGGTTTGGAGAATAGAAAGTTCTTCTTATAGTTTTTTGAGGGATTAAAATTTGAAAATATTTAAAATCCTCTATTTCTCAACTCCTTAAATAGGGAGAGTGAGAAAGTTAATTAAGTGTTTTTGTAAAAATTTAAATGGATTTAATATTCTATTTGTAATTTTTATTACTGTGTAAAATATTAATGTTATCCAGCGATATTTAGGATTTGTTCGGTAAAATTAACTGTTTTTGTAGTTATTATTTGTTTTAGTAATATTAGCTGCTTGAGTAACTTTTCGTAAAATGCGAAAAATTAAATGTTATATGAATTAACTTTTTATAAAACGTTA